TGGGGCAGGCAGGCAGGCAACTGCTCGAATGATTAAAACACATTAAAAATCCAGTAGCCGCAGAAGAACCCAACGAAGAGGGACAAAGGGAAGAGGGAGGAGGGACAGAGGGAGGAGGGAAGATTGAGGACTGCGAAGAGTCTGAATTTCAGTGTTCAGTTTGAGTTTGACGACTTTTTCCACACATCGCACAGCCGCGCAGCCAACTAATTTCATATTTTTCATGCAATTGCTCAAATTCCGTAGCGCCCCAAAAAGTATCTCTGTGTGTGTGTGTGTATCTATGTGTGTGTGTGTGTGTGTGTGATGGCCGGGGACTACCTGTTGCGACGTGTTATTAGGGCGACGTATTGACGACAAGCAAACGTCAACCCAAACGTCAGCTCATCATATCATCGATTGATGCGCGCGTCCCCCCCGGACTGTTCCCCCCCCCCCCCCGTTCTCCCCACCCCTCTGTTGATGGCAGTTTGTGGAGCTTGTTTGGAATTTTGTAGTTTGTGCGCAGACCCAAAAATGTTGGCTGCCCTGCTAATTTTGGGACCAGGCCGGGTTCCTGTCCCTCGAGCTGGTGATATTTTGTACAAGTTGAGTTTGTCTGAGTTTTATATATATTTTTGCTGCTGCTGCGGAGCTGCGCTTTAATGAGGATTATTAAATGCGAGATTATTATGTGCTGCAATTACTTTTCGCAGCCACTGTGCTGTCTGCCTGCCTGCTGCCTGCTCTGATTTATTTTATTGAACCATAAAAATGTAAATTTCAGCTGAACAAAAGACAAAGTTAATCGTTGTCAATTATGGTCTTTGACAGGTTAATATTCACGACGGATCCGCCAGATTCAGATTCAGATTCAAATTCTTCCATCAGGCAGATCTGGAGCAAGATAGGTTCAAGCTTAAAGATTAGCTAGGGCTCTCTCTCTCTCTCTCTCTCTCTCTCTCTCTCTCTCTCTCTCTCTCTCCCTTACATGGTGTATGCCCGCTGGCAATTCAGTTTCCGGCCCCCTCAAGGGGAGGGGGGGAGCGGGGGGAGGGGGTACAACTACCCTCTATTAACATAATCACAACACGAGTCTGTCGAAAATTACGCACAGCTCAGAGATCAATTTTTTTTTTGGCGAAGACCGCGCATCACTGCAGGGCGATCAATTAAAATTTCTGATCGAATTTTTCGTCAATTTTTTGACATGTGGCCAACAGAAGCCAACAATGGGGCGTGGCATTCCGGCAAACCGGACACAGTCTCTGCCGCAGTCGGCGTCGCAGTCGTAATATGCTGCACTCCGGCCAAGATCAATGTAAGCTGAAATTGTCGGGCGAATTGCCTTGGGCCAAAAAGCTGCTGCTCGTCGACTCGAGCTCCAGTTCCAGTTGCAGTTGCAGTCGCGGTCTTTGGCCTGAATGAAATTGATTAAAGCGTAAATGAATTTTGTGGCTGGGACGATGATTATAACATAAGATCGATCGGCTGCTGTCGCTGATCGCTAACTCGATGCGGCTACTGTAGAAAGCAGACGCCGTCTCGATCGATCGGGCTGCCAACATGATGCACACACTATTTGATACCTCTTATTAAATTCTTCTACCCTGCATAAGAGAGGAATAAGCAAGGCTTTGACTATGTTGGGCCACATCACAAGTAGCAAATGCTCAAGAATAAAGACATTTTTTATTATATGCAAAATATATTTCAATTAAATTGCAAATTGGGAAAATTATTCAATTTAAAGGAAATTTGAATTTCTGAGGGAATAAGACACTGGAATTTAGTTCTTTAACACCTTATGTGGATCAAATAGCAAATGCTTAAGAATAAAGAATTTTATACATTTTTTATTATGCAAAATATATTTTAATTAAATTACAAATTGGTAAAATTATTTAATTTAAAGGAAATTGGAATTTCTAAGTGGATTTAGACAGACTAGATTAAAGTTGTATAAATTATATAATTTAAAAGAAATTTAAATTTCTGAGCGGAATAGACTGTAGAATATATTTGCTGAACTCTTTATGTGGATCAAATAGAAAATGCTTAAAAATAAAGAATTTTATACATATTTTATATATGCAAAATATTTAAATTAAATTGAAAATCAGGAAAATTATTCAATTTAAGGGAAATTTGAATTTCTGAGCGGATTTAGACAGACTAGATTAAAGTTAAATAAATTATATAATTTAAAGGAAATTTAAATTTCTGAGCGGAATAGACTGTAGAATATATTTGCTGAACTCCTTATGTGGATCAAATAGAAAATGTTTAAGCATAAAAACTTAATATATCTTTTTTACTATATACAAAATATTTAAACATAATTGCAAATCAGGAAAAATATTATAATTTAAAGGAAATTTGAATTTCTGAGGGAATTAGACGCTAGAACAAAGTTTGATAAATTGAAGAAATTTGAATTTCTGAAGGGTTAAAACACTAGAATATAATTCTTGAACTGTTTACATGGATTTTTGTAGTTTCGAGCAGCATTCATTATTTTGCCAGGGTATCTTTTAGTTTGCCATTCTCTGCTGCATTTGCCGCACGTTTTTGGCAATTCGCGGACGTGGCAAGTTTTTGTTTGGCATCAAATAGAAAAAGTTTAAAAATAAGAACTTTATATACATTTTTTATTATATGCAAAATATTATTATAATATTAAATTGAAAATCAGGCGAATTCTTTATATTAAAAGAAATTTTTATTTAATTATTTTATTTGTAAATATCTTTGAACCATTTTGAATTTCTGAGTGGACACTCGAATTTAATTCTTGAACTCTTTTTTGTGGCTTTTGAATCTTTCGACCAGCATTCAGTTACGTCTTTTGCCAGGGTATCTTATAGTTTGTCATGCTCTCTCCTCACATTTTTGGCAATTCACGGCCGTGGCAAGTTTTTGTCTGGCATTTGACAAACTAGCCAGAGGCAAGAAGCAGAAGCTGCCAAGTTTTATGGTTCTGGTGCTTAGATAACCTTCGCAACCTTCGCAACCTTCGCAAACCTTCGCATCGGCGCGATTTAAGTTTATCCGCACGATCAGCCCCGATCCGAATACCATAATTTTGGGGCTGCCGAAAAAAAAAAAACTAATAAGAAATATGTGTAGGAATTCCTTGCGTGCCAGGCGAAGATCAGGCAAAAAAAAAAAAGAGAAAGAGAGCAGGACGAAACGGTAAACGGTAGCCACGGCTTTAATTGAGGTGAGCTTCCCTAGGCGCTGGCGTGGCTTATGCGTCGGCAGGTCGCTGGTTCAACTTTTTTTCCACTTGCCACTCGATTTCAATTTTTTCAGTCAGCTTATTAATAGAGGAAGAGTTAGGCAACAACAACAACAACGAAAAAAAAAGCCAACTAATGGCCGCAGAGAGCCAGAAACATTAATTTAGTTACGCTCCGCTGAGCGGCAAAGAGTAGAGGATCGAGGGGGGGGGCGGGGTTGGAGTCTCTCGACGGAGTCTTAAGCCTCGCGTCATTAAAGACAATTTCGTGATTCGCCAAATTACCTGCCAAATTATAGAAAGCAAACAAATCGGGCGCCCCCAAATCAATAGAAATCAACGCCTGTCAGGCGAGAGGCAGCTCGTAGATTGGAGACTGGAGCTCTTCGATTGGAGCTTGGAGCTCGGAGCTGAGGTCTCTTGCATTTTCTTTGGAGCTGCCACTATCGATGCGAAGTTCGGGCCATTGTGGACTTAATCAATCAATACAATTGATATTTGGGTTGTTATTTTTAGGTGCACAGAATAAAAGTGAAGAATCAAGTGAAATTTTTTGGGCGCATTCAAACCGAATCAACACTTAGCTAGACAAATAAATCAATTGACTTGGAGATGGGCACGATCATGGGGAGAAAACTCGATTTCGTCTTATATTAGATTTATATTTTCTTTCTAATGCGTGCTATTAATATTAAGAATTGAACGCAGAAAGTGTGACCAAAAAATTAAATTACATTAAAAATGTTCCTTATTATCAAATTACTTTAATAAAAAATCCTTATCATTTACTCATTTCTCTGACACTCAGAAAGTGTGACCATATTTACAAAACTTAAGATAACTTTCATAAAAAATGCTTTTATCCACGGTATTCCTTTTTCCCGATTGCATCTCTACTCGATACTCATCTGTACTCATTTCTCCCAAAGTGTGACCATATTTGCACATCTTAAAATTACTTTAATATGAAAATATTCTTTTCCGCGGGTTTCGTTGTTCCGTTCCTGATCCCATCTCTACTCAATACTCAGCTGTACTCATTTCTCCCCACACCCAGAAAGTGTGACCGTATTTTTAAATTAGTTTAATAAAAGATACTCCTATCCACGGGATTCCTTTTTCCCGATCCCATTCCTACTCGATACTCATTTGTACTCATTTCTCCCACACACAGAAAGTGTGACCGTATTTACATAACTTTAAATTAATTTATAAAAAATTCTCTTATTCACGGGATTTGTTGTCCCGTCTCTGATCCCATTTCTACTCGATACTCATTTGTACTCATTTCACCCACACGCAGAAAGTGTGACCGTATTTTTAAATTACTTTAATAAAAGATACTCCTATCCACGGGATTCCTTTTTCCCGATCGCATCTCGACTCATTTGTACTCATTTCTCCCATACACAGAAAGTGTGACCGTATTTTTAAATTACTTTAATAAAAGATACTCCTATCCACGGGATTCATTTTTCCCGATTGCATCTCTACTCAATACTCATCTGTACTCATTTCTCTCCCACACACAGAAAGTGTGCCCATATTTACAAAACTTTAAATTACTTTAATATGAAAATACTCTTTTCCGCGGGATTCGTTGTCCCGTTCCTGATCCCATCTCTTATCGATACTCATCTGTACTCATTTCTCCCACACAGAGAAAGTGTGACCGTATTTTTAAATTACTTTAATAAAAGATACTCCTCTCCACGGGATTCCTATTTCCCGATCGCATCTCTACTCGATACTCATCTGTACTCATTTCTCTCCCGCACAGAGCCAGGCCCTGGCGCTCACCCGTGCGGCCAATGCGGCGGCTGTGGTCGCCGCGGCCAATGCCAATGCCAATGCCAATGCCAATGCCAAATCGCCATCGGCTGCCGCCAGCTTGATGGACATGGCCGTCAAGAAGGAGCACTCGCTGTCGCCGACGCACAGCGTCATTGTCGACGAAGCCGGCGTCGGCCTTGGCCAATTGCAGCACAGACGCGCCTCGCTGCAGGGCGTGCAGGAGAAGCTGACACAGCTGCAGATGCAGCATCAGCATCACCAGCAACAACAACAGCAGCAACAACAACAACAACAGCAGCAGCAACAGCAGCAACAGGCTGGCTCGGAGGCAGCTAATGCCGTCGGGCGACGCTCCACAGAGGGCAGTCCGCCTGCCGTGGGCCTGGTGCCGCATCAGCATCAGCTGCAACACCAACAACAGCAGCAGCAACAGCAGCAGCAGCAACAATCGCAGCAGTTGCAGCAGCAGCAGCAGCAGCAGCAGCTTTTGCTCAACTCGGACGCCGGCAGCGGCAACGCGTTGTCCTCCTCGGCGGGCTCTAGTCAGAATGCCTCCCTGGCGGCGACACCGAAGAGCGAGCGCGAGCGGGAGCGGGAACGGGAGCGCGAGGAGCGCGGCAGCATCTCCTGCCTGCCGCCAGCCGCTCTGGGCATGGCCGTGGGCGTCCAGGCACAGCAGCAGGCCGAGAAGCTGCTCAGCCATCCGGCTTTGGAATCCCGGCGCGACTTCGATGTCAGCAAAGTAAATCGTGAGTACCCGAAAACTCTATAAATTCAATTTATTAGACAGTTAAGTTATTTAATGGTGAGCAAAGAGAGAAAGTGAGAAATTAAGAGAAAATACGTGTAACAAAAAAGTGAGCGACAGAGAAAGATATAGTTACAGAAACAAAGTTTTGTTTTAGAGAGGGAGAGAAGGAGATAGACAGAGATAGAGATGTATAGAGAATGAGAAGGAGATGTTTGGAGAAAGAGAAAGAGATGTATAGAGAAAAATATATATAGAGTAAGAGAAAGAGATGTATAGAGAAAAAGATGTATAGAGAAAGAAATGTATAGTGAAAGAGATGTTGAGAAAGAGAATGAAATGTTTAGAGATAGAAATGTATAGAGAAAGAGATGTATAAAGAAAGAGATGTATAGAGAAAGAGATGCATAGAGAAAGAGATGTATAGAGAAAGAAATGTATAGAGAAAGAGATGTTGAGAAAGAGAATGAAATGTATAGAGATAGAGATGTATAGAGAAAGAGATGTATAAAGAAAGAGATGTATAGAAATAGAGATGTCTAGAGAAAGAGATGTATAGAGAAAGAGATGCATAGACAAAAGAGATGTATAAAGAAAGAGATGTATAGAGAAAGAGAAGTCTAGAGAAAGAGATGTATAGAGAAAGAGATGCATAGAGAAAGAGATGTATAGAGAAAGAGATGAATAGAGATAGAGATGTATACAGAAAGAGATGTATAGAGATAGAGATGTATACAGAAAGAGATGTATAGAGAAAGAGATGCATGGAGTCTGAGCTGTATAGAGAAAGAGATGTATACAGAAAGAGATGTATAGAGAAAAGGATGTATAGAGAAAGAGATGTATAAAGAAGGAGAGAGAGAGATCGAGATGTATAGAAAAAGAGAGGCAGGGAAGAGAGAGCAAAAAAGAAGGGTGAGAGAGAGAGAGAAGGAGGGGCCGATAGAGAGGTGTAGACAAAACGATGTTAACTTTTTTTCAACTATTTTCAAAAGCCTTTAAATTTACATAAATTTGCCTAAACGGCTTTCAAAAGAGTTTTAGCGGTTTAGTTTTTTTAGTTTTTAGCCAACGTCATAAAACCAGTTGGCAAATGAGATATTTAATAGAGCCTAAACGCATAGAATACATTAAAGTGTACGCAGAAAATCCCAACATAAATAGTTTTACACAAATGCCAAATCGTTTTATTTAACGTGCTATATCCAGTTGAAATTCGAATATTAATTAGATTAAATTCGAAAAAGTTGCCACTATTTCGAGGCAGGCAGCAAACATACATTTGAATCCAGTTAAAATTCTAATATAAATTAGATTAAACTAAATAAATATATATTATATATTTGATATTTCATCTCAGGCCCCTCGGCCTGCTCTCCCTCATTATCTATGCTTATTGGATATAATATTTATTTCGAGGCATACATTTGAATACATTTAATCTCTAACCTCAAATCTGATTACAAGAGGCCCCTCGTCCCTGCCCTCCCTCCCTCTCTCTCTCCCTCCCCTCCCTTGGTATTGGAATATTGCAATCGAATTGCGACTAAAACCGAACAAAATGTTGCATAAATCACACAAATCCGTGTGCCTAAATCCCGCCCAGCGAATGGTAGGGGAGTCGGGTCGCAAATACCCTTAATCCGGCTGCGATAGAGTATCGGTGGCCTCGCTGGAGGAGCTCAATAATAGAGGGGCAGCAACCACATCATTATAAAAATGCCTTTGGCCGAACTGGCAACTGGTGATTATGTGTGTGCCCCATGTTGCATGGCAGCTTTAAGGATTTGTGCAACTTTAACCGGGTTATGAACGAGCTCTACACTCCCTCTCTCCCTCCCTCCCCCTCTCCCTCTCTCTCTTTGAGTGGCCTTCTGCTGCTGGTAATCTTGTTTAGTTCATCAATACTAGTTTAGCCATGGACAAAGAGTCTAGCTGTACGCATTCACAATCATGCACAGCTACAGATACAACAGCTACAGATACAGATACATAGATACATAGATACTTGTAGCTGGTAGCTGGTGTATCTGTCAGATAGATTGTCGCTGCCGAATCTAAAATCCTTTTGCATACGTATACAAACAGAGTCTGTTCGTTTGCCATAACAGACACAACACAACACACACACACACACACACACACACACACACACAAAGTACACACACACACACTCATCGTATATGCATCCAAATCCCCTGGATTAAGCATATGAAGCATTCATAACATTTATTTTACCTTCCATCTGGCTACAGCTCGCCCTCTCTCCCTCCCTCTCTCTCTCCCTTTCTCTCTCCCTTTCTCTCTGTGTGCAAACAAGCATTCGTTTTGCTTTGGCTGTGGCTGTCGAGAGCACGAAGAGACACACACATACACAATAAGAGTTGTTGTGTGCCTGGGGAGGGAGGACTGCGGTTGGGGCTGGGGTTGGGAGGGTGCGGCTGTTGCGTCAAATGAACGTCAACACACACTTGTGGAGCTATTTTGGCCATGTGTAGCTGTAGCTGTGGCCAATACAACAACTACAACAACAACTACAACAACAAGGCTGCGGAGGCGTGACAGTTTCGAGTTGATTCCTTCGCCTCCTTGTGCCGGCACTCGCGGCGTATACGCAACGCTTTCGCGCTGCTCTCTTCTTTTTTTTTGTCGGCTGTGTGTTTGCCTTTTGGGCTCAACAGGTTGTTGTGGTATTATGGCCAATTTATGGTATCTCTCTAACAGCAGCGCTTGTAAGTTTTCAATTGCCAAACTCTGGGCTCAGTTGCGAAAAGTGAGCTACAGTGCCTGACACATGTATGAGTATGCCCAGAATATTAAGATTAAAGTGGAAGATTAAAGCTAAAGTTATTATAAAGATTATTTAAATGCGAGCGAGTGAGAGTGAGAGAGAGAGAGAGAGAGTGAGAGCGAGAGAGAGGGAGAAGATTAACAAATTGAATAAAAATATATTAATAATGAAAAATATTGCTAGATTTGAACCGGTGACTTATCGATTGTTTGTCCGACGCATAGAAATCTGAGAGAACGAGACAGAAGATAAACAAATTCAATCAAATGCTGCTAGATTTGAACCAGCGACTTACTGCTTGTAAGTCTGAAGTCTTGAAATCTGAGAGAGAGAGAGAAAATAAACAAATCCACAAAATAAAATATATACGGAAAAATGTTGCTAGATTTGAACCGGCGACTTCACGCTTGTTAGTCCGACGCCAAAAAATTTGAGAGAGAGAGAAGAATAACAAATTCAATTAAAATATATAAATAAAAGTAAATGCTGCTAGATTTGAACCAGCGACTTCACGCTTGCTAGTCCGACGCCTGAAAATTTAATATATATTCATATTCTATGTCCAGTAATCAGCTTTGCCTGCCATTTCTAGATATTCATTCAATTAATTCGCTTTACTGCTCAGCATATTCCCGAATATTTTTGGTAATCCGCCAATATTTGCATAGAGCATATTTTTGGAATTCGTTTGCACTGCATTTACATGAAGAAACGTTACGAATTGAGCCAAAATTTGCTGTCGTCCCTGTTGCTGTTAAGCTGCTGGCTAAATCGTTGCCTCTGGGGGGGAGGAGAGGGGGAGGGGTATTTGGTACGAATTGAAAGGGAGCGCCCAAAGAGGGAAGGGGGGGGGCATGGTCGGATCAGGTGGCATGTGCCATGATAGTTGGATAGAAACGTGCGTTAGATTTGAATTTGTGAATGGCTCACTCAAACATAAGTGTGTGTGAGTGTGTGTGCGTGTGTGTGTGCGTGTGTGTAATGTGTTTTGTAGTGTATTTTGAGGATTTGCACAGCAAAACGGCATCAAGCAAATGGAAAGGTTATTTTGTATCCTTGTTGTTGCTCTCATTTAACATACGGCTGCATGCGAGTGTGTGTATGCGTGTGTGCGTGTGTGTGTGCGAGTGTGTATGAGTCTTATATGTAAATCTGTTTGTTTGTTTTCGTGTGCGTGTGTTTATTACGCCTAAGCTGCTCAGCGACGCAACACGATATTTATCCCCCCAAACCCACACACACACGCACACCCATTCACACACACACACACCCCCTCTCACACACACACACACATAGAACAGTTGCAAACAGTGCTCTGCATTTTGGGGCAATTTTTATTTGTCGCATTTTGATTCGATTCGATTTATGCAGCAGTTTAGTATGCAAAATTTTCATACGTTAGCCTTAATAAATCCCCAAATGGCCGCACTTGTCAATATGCAGGCGGCCCCCTGCCCCTGCCACGCCCACTTGTGCCATGGCCAGTATGGCACCTATATAAGCTTATGCACACACATACACACACGTGCCACACACACACACATAGACAGAGAGACAGTTTGTGCCGCGCTCTGCAATTGAAAATCACTGCGCCTTAGTTAACGACACGTTTGTGGATCAACGCGTTCACCAGAGCTCCAACTGCCCCCCAACCCCAACCCCAATTGACCTCCACTCGACCATTGTTTGGGCAGAGCTTTGTTATTGTTGTTGCTGCTGCTGGCACTGCAGTTGCCAGGGTCACCGTCCATTCGGTGGCTCCGCTAGAGCCGGAGCTGCTGCATCAGCGGCTGACATAAGCCAGGCGGCTCTTGCTGTATGCATAAGCGAACGCGACTGCTCAGGTTTCAAAAATACGCGACTCCTCACATTATGCACACGCCAAACGGATCGACATGTGCATGTGTGTGCAGGTGTGTAGGTGTGCAGGTGTGTGTGTATGGCTTTCAGTTCGTTTCAATTTAAATTTGCTGTCGAGTTGTTAAAGGAAATCAGAATTTAAGTGCCGAGTCAGAGATCAGTTTTGTGATTTTGAAATTCTTACTTTTATAGAATAAACTACGAAATAAATAGCAACTATTTGTGAAAATGCTGGAGCTGATCTCTAAACTAATGTATACTCATATTTACCTCTTGCTTTTATTGCATGGAAATTAAATTGGGCGAAGAAATATCTGATCAAACTCTTACGATATAAATCAACTAGCGGG